AAGCCACTTTCGAGTCGAAAAGTCCCCGTCAGCATTGTCGACAAACTGAAAACTAAAGTCCAAGGCATCAATCATTGCCAAAGACATGGCGATGATAAGAACGACGACATGACAGAAGCTCACAGTCATCCCTCCGTCGTATCAAATAACTTCGTGGGAAGGCACTTGCTATGGGTAGCAGTACTAAGGGTGTTCTGGAGGCTCTTCCTTTGGGACCCGACAGAATCGAATCGATGTCCTCTGCAGCAACGTTGAGGGTTCTTTGAGTCGAGCCGAGACAGATGTCCAAGCACAACATGGATGGCCCCTTCCAGTCGTCCCATAGCAACTGTTGCATCTTTCCTTATTTCTCTTTCCCTCACCGTCTTGGTTCTCTTTTGATTTCGAAGAAATCACGATCAAAATGCGATGGAGGCATGGTCCGAATGAAGACGACAAAGATCTTTGGCACGAATGAGAAAGTAGTGACTGCAATGAGTCGAGTCACTGACTCAGTCAGAGCTGTTGTTGCCGAATTTTAAAAACTCCCTCCGATCTGATCGAAGTGCGAAGTGGCTTGTTGTCGTTGCTGCCCACCATCCCAGTTGTACATAGACGTACATAAAAGGTATACAAAATCAACCATGAAGACGTTTCTGTTCCATGCGTCTCTGCTCCTCTCGTTGTTACAATGTGTCACCGTCCACGCCTTGGCATCGTCGGGAGCAACCTCTGCACCAAAAACTGCCAAGCCACTCTTTTTCTCATCGCATTCCCAGAGGCACCCCCCCAATACTGTGACTCTGACATATCTGGAGATTAATAGCTGGCTGCTTTCGGCCAATGGTGTTACGATTCTGGTCGATCCTCTCTTGGAAGGACCTCTCGATTTTGGAATTCCCAGTCTGTACCAAGGAAAGAAGCGTGTCATCCCACCATCAGGGCTCACAGACGCACTTCCACCCATTGACGGCATTTTGATTACCCAAGGACTCGACGACCACGCCCATGTGCGCACTCTGCAAAAAATTCACTCGTTGGACCCCACCGTGCCTATTCTAGCACCTCCATCGGCCAAGGGGGCATTGAAAGCGGCTGGGTTCCTCTCCACAGATTCTTCTGCCCAAGTTCAATTTCTCCATCATGGAGATGAAGCAGTCATCCGGTCTCGAAGCAGCAAAGACAATACGTCAACTCTCGGTGTAGTGGCCACCAAAGGAGCCCGGGTGGGACCACCATGGCAGCGACGAGAGAATGGATACATTCTGAGAAGTGAGTCGTCCACACAATCTACTACTGGCAAGTCCAGCGGTCCGTCCATTTACATAGAGCCCCATGTGGAATTCAAAG